TAAATTTATTGTATTTAATAATGGCAATAAAAAAATTAAATTTTAATTAAATCAATGTGCATTAATATCTAAATTTTAAAATTATAAAACGTTATAAATGAATTCAAATGAAATCCACGATGCGTTAATATTTTATCAAATGAAATCAAATGTGCATTAATATTTTACCAAATGAAATCATATTTAGTGAAATATAAATCTATCAATCAAATATAAATCAATAAAATATTTTATTCCATTAATTTAATTATGAAGAATTAATTTGATATATTTACTTTCTATACTTACACAGGAAATACATCAATTACTCAAATGGATAATATATTTAATCAAATATAAATGTATCAAATAATTGATTAGAGAATCAATTATTTTATAATCGTAATTTTAGTATTTATTAAATTATTAATTATATATTGATTGATTTAATTTGTCAAATTAAAAACTTTTTAAAATTTTAATACTTTTAATATGAATTGAATTGTGAGTGATTTAAGGTTAATAATAAAAACATAAATATAATCAATTTAGTTTTTTGAATTATTTTTAAATTAAAAATGTATTAAATAAAATAAAATGCATTTATTAGATGTCATGTAATGATTTTTAAGACCATCCATATGTCAACATTTTAAGTCATCCACATAGGATTTTTTTTTCATTTTTGCCAAAAGCTTTGGCTTTCATATATTTATATAAGATAAGATTAATAAATAATATTCTAATATATTCATAAATAATATTATATTAATATATTAATATTGATAAATAATAATATAATAAATATTATTAATTTAATTAACAAATATTGTAATAATATATTAGTAAATAATACACTATTAACATAATATATTAATAAATTTATTAATAAATAATATATTAATATATTAATAAATAATATAAAGAATAATAAATAGTTTTATTTTAAGTATTTTTATATTAACATAATTTTTTAATATTAAATATTATTAAATAATTATTTTTTTTAATATAAATAATTTTAAAAATAAATAATTTCAATATATTTTAATAACAAATAATTTTTAGTATTTTAATAGTTATATTAATATTATTTGAAAAAAAAAAACAAAATTTCCAAAAAACAACAAAAAAACGAAAAATATTTTTCATTAATTTTTCCAAACAACAAAAAATCTCTTTCAATTCAAAAAATGTAAATATTTTTCAAAAATCAATTTCGGAAAGTCATTTTCTACGAAACAAATGGAGCCAAAAAAAGAAAATTGAGAGCTGAAAATGGGTTGATAATTTAGAAGGGAGGAAAAGTTCATTTGGCTCATGCCAGACAAATCTTCTATCTTTTTTTCTAATTAATTAAAATAATTAATTTTAAATAAAATGAAATTGGGCCTTTATTATAGATTTAGGCTTTTAAACTCAAATAATCTAATTTTAAACTGTATCCAATAAAATTAAATTAATCTTAAAATAAATAATTCAGTTTGTTTGATTTTATGCATCAAATACATCCTAAAAAGATTACTTGTTTGGATAATTGGTACTAAAAAGAATAGTACTTAGAAATAAAGTTAAAAATTAATAAAAATTTGTTTAAGTTAATATTATATTTATATAACTTAAATACTTGTTTATTTAGAAAAATATCATAAGCATAAAGTTGACATAGGTTTTTTCTTAAAAAAAAAAAAAAAAAACAAATGCAGTGTTGTGCCCAATAAATTTGAACATTAATTCATAAGCATTTAATTTACTTTGAAGTAACAGGCCAAGTTTATCGATTGGAAGCCTTTTTTTTTTTTTTTTTTTTATGGTTTCAGGTTGGAAGCCTTCAAATGCTAGTTGTGCAGCTTGTCAATCATTCCATATGTGGATTACGTTGGGGATTCCGGATTCATTTCGTGCACTGATCATAAAGAGTTTTTTTTTTTTTTTTTTTTATCTAATCATAGTAATTCAAAAACTTATTTTTCGAAGCATAGTGTTTTTAATCTTATTTCATAATTTAAAATAAATTTCGCCACATCATTACGCATACTCGTTTTTTATTGATTTAAAAAAAAATAAAAACAATCTTTCTCCTCTCAATCTATTTTCCTTTCCAAGAAAAAGAGAAAAAATAGATCAAATTGCTTCATATGTTATCATTTCAAGCCGCATAAGACAATGGACTTGTATATGGGCTTGATGGAATCTTGGAGATTTCTTTGACGTTATACTTTCACCGTAAATTCTCTATCTTTTTCCCAATTTCCCTTTAACTTTTCTTTTATTTTTTCGAAAAAAAATGAAGAACGAAGAAAAGTTTTTGGCCATATAAATTAACAAAGGAGGTAATTTGGAGAAATAGACATTCTTTTATTCAATTCAAATTATTGGCATCTCTATTTTATCATGAATTCATGATATCTTAATCGATTCAATTGAAACTTCTCTGTTAGATAAATCTTATAGATTAAGCAAACCAAGAGACAGCATGTTATTGTTAATGGAGGACTTATAAAAGAATTTCGTCTCAGTTATTTTGGTGAATAAATAATAGCTAAAATAATAAAAAGATATATAAACTTTATTACTTTATTAAAATAAACTTTAATATTTTTATTATACATAAATAAATTCTTAATTTTACATTGAAATAAACTTTTAAATTTTAATTTATATTCAAATAAACTCTTAATCTTTAATTTGTAGCTAAATAAATTTTTAACATAAATCAATTTGAAAAAAAGGTTACTTGAATATAAAATTAAAGAATAAGGCTTTATTTAGATATAATAAAAATATTAAAATTTATCTAAATAAAGTAGTTAAATTTAAGTACTCTTTTAATATTTTAGCCATAAATAATCAACCAAAATTGATCCTAGCATCTAAAAAATCTTTTGCGCGTATAGAATTTCAATGTCCAATACTATTTGATACTATTTATGTTAATTGGTTTATTTCTATTGATCCAAGTATCTTTTTAAATTGTTTTTTATGTTAATGTTAGTGGCAAATTGAAGCAATTTGATTTTTATGAAAATCAATAAAAAATTATTATAAGTAATAACACGGCAAAAGTCATTATAAATTAGAAAATAAGATTAAAAACGCTGCACTTTGAGAAATAAGTTTTTGAATAAAAAATTTAGGATAGAAAGATACTTAGTACTTCTTTTTCAGAATAAAAGATACCTATTACTTATTTCCAAAAGGTGTTGTACTTTTTTCTGAAATTTTGAAAAATGTATTTCTTTTTTTTTTTAATTTATTTCTAATTCATTGTAATTTTTGCCATGTCATATTTCCTTAAAATTTTTTAATTAGAAAAAATTAAAAGGCCTCGCTCTACCCATTTTCCGTTTTCTACATTTTCATTATTTTTATTCATGCTCTAACAATGAACGTAAGCCTTCTTTATTTATATGTCAAAATTTTTTCAAAACAGTTTACTTATATCATACTGTTAATTAAGAAAACTTCTTCCTTTTTAATTTTTTATTTTCAAAGAGATGGTGTTCTAATAATTTTCATTATCTTTTGATATTCAACATAATTATGCTTTTTACTAATTGTATTAGAGAAGCAAAATGAAATATCTGTTGTAGCAATCATTAGAGATGTTGCTTTTTACCATTTGAGAACTTTCATTATCGTTTGAAACTATATTTAATTCAAAAGGTTTTATATAGTAGTAACTAGTGGAGAAGAATCATTAGAGATGTTGAATGCTGAGATTCACACAAATTTTCATTATCTTTTGATTTTCAACATAATTATGCTTTTTACTAATTGTATTAGAGAAGCAAAATGAAATATCTGTTGTAGCAATCATTAGAGATGTTGATTTTTTCCATTTGAGAACTTTCATTATCGTTTGAAACTATATTTAATTCAAAAAGTTTTATATAGTAGTAACTAGTGGGGAAGAATCATTAGAGATGTTGAATGCTGAGATTCACACAAATTTAGTCTTTCTATATTTTAATGTTGTTTTTTATTGGAAAACAAAAAGGTTTAAATACAAAAGCTAGTCTATCAATGGCTAAATTAACTAGAAACGTAATAGTCACATGTGTTTCTCCTTAACCATAGAGCTTGCTTAAACTGGTAAAGCCATTGACGTTTAAAACTTAAGGAACATGAGGAAGTTAAAAAAAGTATTCACGACAAAAAATTTTCTTTTATAGCTAGAAAGTCAATTATATTTGTATAGATTCAAGATTCAGAGGTTTATTTAATGACATAAGAAATTCATTCAATTATTTTTTGTATCAATTTATTCATTTACATTTTTTTATAATCAAAATTATCAAAATTTACTCAGATCATTAAAATTAAAATTTTAATATTTTATTAATAAATCACTCGACTAATAAATTCTTTTCCACTGTTATATACAATATAATATGCAATGAATAAATAAAGAAGTCTTTGCCCCAAGTATCATTAGCCAGACAGGAGATCAAAAGAATGAAAAAAAATTAGAGAACCACATAGATAGCTAGATAGAGGAGGAGAGATAGATAAAGAGTTATGGTAAGAGTGAAGCAATTGTCATTTGATTTTTCTTTTAATTACAAAATTTAATAAAATATAGTAATGGCATAACAAAAACGCTAAAAAATACAAAATAACTAAATAAGTTTAAAAGCGCTGAAAAATAAGCTTTCAAAGTCAAATTTTCTTGCACACATTTATTATAAAAGTTATGCAATATGGTACAATTAATGCTTTTTAACTAAGAATTAATTACACTTTTGGCATCTTAATTCTATTAAAATTTTGAATTTAGGAAAATTTTCAATATTTTTTGTGGAATAGTTAGTTTTTATTTTTATGGCTTCTTTTAATTCAAATATATATTTTAAAAAATCATAAAAAAAAATGACGTGCCATTTTGTAGCCAAGTTATGCATTCTTGTTATCTTTTTTCTCATACATCACATTTTTGTTATTTTTTTCTCATACATCACCTGATGCTGGGAATTTCCAGCAAACAACAGGGGAATGTAGGAAAGGAAGCAAACATCAAATGCAGGAAGATTGGAGTTGAAGAACAAACCTTGTGTGAGATGAGAAAAAAAAAAAAAAGAAACAGAGGTCAGAAAGAGGAGAAACAAGGGAGAAATAGACAGATACTTGATATAACAACACACTGTAACAAGAGCATGAGCCCCAGTACCAGGTACAATAAGGCCATAAGTGATGTGCCACAACATACTAAAAGATAACCTAGAAAAGTACTATTTTTAGTTCGGAAAAGTATTCCGATTTTCTTGATCATTTTGGTTCAGGAACTGGGTTAACAAATAATGATAACACTTTATCCTTGGTCTCGCCATCTTCAATAGCATGACCATCGCCATTCTGGTACATGCAGTGGGACACCCTTGCGAGGTTCATAGCAATTTCAATAAACATCTGCGAGAAACGAGATTTAGCAATTCGATCTTTATTCATCTTTTTCCATGTCGCGCCAATCAACTTCCTTATGTGCTCACGAGCTTTGTCTTCGGATGCTCCACTTTCATGCATGTGACATTGGATTGATTTAGGAACATCACCTCTTTTTATCTCATACTAGTCATAAAAAAAAAAAAAATCCAAGAGGCAAGCATTTCATTATGAGACAAAGTGGAAATTTCAAGTTTACAACTATATATATAGATTAATCTTCATAATTAAGGATGTGATGATTAGTATATATATTGTTTACCGATGATGTTCCTAAATCGTCTGTTAATCGTACAATTATGGATGACCAACAGATTATATTTGTATAACATTCCTCAAAGCTTTGCAATCCCTCCTTGGTTATATGATCAGTTACCAAATAGGAATGACCAAGAATTACTGAAACCGATGATGAAATCCAAGCATTGTCGATGTATTCTTGTAGGGTTGGCGTGTGTCCACTGTAATACCATTTTGCCTCCAACAAATAAGCTTTAAAAAGATTTGCCCACTGAACATTTATAATTAAACCATGAGTAACAGAAACTAGAGTTCATAAAGAAAAGGAAAAGAATATAAGGAAAAAAAATCTACAAATTGGTTTTACTACCAGTTTCTTGAGAAAGGGAATGACATCTATTCCTTGTTCCTTGAGAATGTCAAAAGCCATTTCATTTATGGAATTATGAAGAGCATGGAAACATATCTTCATATAGTTGGGAAGACTTTGTATTGCATTGATATCCCATCTGAAATTACAGCATATCAATGATTAAACATTCATAAGAAATATCAACATCAACTAAATCAGATCCCAGCAGAATCACATACCTCTCAACAGCATCGGTGAAGAGCTCCAACTCACCTAAGGTGCCATAAACATCATAAACATCATCTAAAACTGTTATAAACGAATTGACCTTCGTCAGAATTCTTCTACCTTTCCCGGAGTCAGGAGCAATTATCGCTCCCACACTCCATAAGAAGTTCTCCATCAGCCTATCTCTAGCAAAGCTCAACCTTTCGCCAAGGTCAAGATCCTTCCACCATCTAAATATACAATAGAAGTCAATAACCTAAATCAATTAGTTCAAAACTATCCATATGGAGTACTTATTATAGACAGATTAGCAAGCGATGGGAATATGTGAGTAAATTTCGAACTACTATGCAGTATACACACTTACTGTGAACAATATCTTAGATCTTCCAGGTACATAGCTTGGACTATGTTGTAATCCAATATAGCAAGCTCTAAAATAATGGGAATTTTGTCCTTTTTTTTCTCGTACACATCTATGAACCATCTGGCTTCCAACCTTGACATCCTCCAATGTAGAGGAAGCTCCAAGGCATGGTCCGAGAGCATGGAAAGATAAGGATCATTTTTCTGCTTCAGACATTTCTTGAGATGTTTAGCTACTAAATCTCTTGCATTCTCCAGCATTGTTTCACCTTCTACTAAGAGGTACGAAGCCTCATACAGGTTAAGCAATCCCTTGGAATCCTGAGAAAGGCTAGCTTTAATGTTTCCAACCTCGTTCAAGAAACTAGTGAAAACAGCTGGTAGATGAAAAAAAATTGGCTATTAATTATAATGAAATTAGTTGTAAATTAAAACATCCAATTTTGAATCTTTCTTTGTACCTTGATTCACATCATACCCTTGTTGTCTTAGCAGTCTAAATTCAAGTGCTGTAGCATATAAATTGTCTTTCTTACATTCAACACCGCTGCGATCGGTACTTATATTGTCCAAAGTTTTCTTTATTTCATCTTCAAAGTGGTAGGACAACCCAAGTCTTTGTAAGGTATCAATAACCTCAAGTTTCTCCAAATGATCCCCCACATTTTCAAGTATCATCCTCACTTCTCCAATCAGTTTGCTTGCTCGTTCCTTGTATGATTCACCCTATACGCACAGGGCACAATAAGTTTTTCTTAGCTTGCGATCAAAATTTAGCATTACTAACAATTATATAAAAAAAGGCGAAAAGTCGGTGCCATCTGCAAAGCACTAAAAAAATCATATATACCTTCAGATAGTCGCTTCTAAGTGACTGAACATAATCATAGTCCCAAATAGATGGGTGATAATTAGCAGATCGTCTAACGATGTCGGCTTCACCAGAAGCTTTGCTTGTAGCTTCACACCGGAAGGCTGACAAAACGTGCAACGGCCAATTGAACCTTGACCCATTATTTGAGATGCGTTTCCATTGTGACTGTCCGGGGAAACTGCAGATCGTGAATGAACTAAACAGGCAAAAACCCATTTCCAAGCCTCAGCCTGCTGCTCGGATGGATCGTCTACACTAAGTTACTTTTGGAATTATTTTAGTTTATATTTCTTTTGCTAAGATATCCCTTTGGGATGGAGACCACATTGCACGAATGCATATCTATAAATAGAAGTGATTTTTTTTATAGAAGCTTGTTAAGATTTGAATATCGTACGTATTAAATATTGCTTAATACTTATTAAATGTTATTTATTAAAAATGATTATATGAGTCAATAAAATTAAATTTTAATTCTTTTTTTCATTCTAATATTACAACATTTTCCAAATGAAAAGAATATATTTTATTCTAGAAATAATTAAAATTGGAAAGTATTGGAATTAAAAATAGTTAATATTTTATTAAAAGTTATTTTTTTGTGGGTTTTTAGAGTTTTAGTATAATTAGGTTCTTTGGAAGAGACTAAAAGACTAACATGTTATGAGGCTGAGACTGCGTGTCTTATTTATATTGACCGTTGCTTTGTGTAAGTGTTTGTGTGAGAATAAAAAATGCTTGTGAAGCCCAATTCAGGTAAATAAAAAATTATGTTTTTGTATGGTTGCCTCCATTAAAATACTTTATTGATGGTTTCATATTAATAAAAGAGTTTATATGTGATATACTGTCGATGTATAGATTTATACGTTATAATTAAATTAAATAATATTATCTTATTAACAAGTAAATATCAGTTCTTAAAATAAATATATAAAAATTAATATTTTTAAAAAGATTTACTTATTAATGAGGTATTATCATCGAATTTATTTTATTAATGAGATGACATCATCTTATTCACTGATAGTATATAAAATCTACATACTGACAATGCATCAAATATAAATCCTTAATAAAAATAATTCTTGCATAACATTTTTAAGAGCTTTTTATATTTTACTTTCATTATGTGATTAGAAAGAATCGCTCCAAATTTTGTGATCTCAAGTAAAATGCTAGACAGCTTATATAACAGTAAATCCTACAATGATACCATTTAAACTTGTCAAAAGAGAATTACCATTTAAAAAGTAAAATAGGAATAGTTGTAGACCAAAAATAGAAAAATATAAGAGACAAACAAAACAAGGACTAAAAGATGAATACGAAATTTAATTTAGTTGATTTATAAAATTATATTTAAAAGTTAGCATTTAGTGAATCTAAGATTTAAATTCAAATGCTTACAATCCATTCTCTAATCCTTAAACTACGGCTTTTTTTGTAAAATGAAAAACAAAGCTAAAAATTGACTCAAAACATCGTAGACAATTTAGGTTTCACTTGGTTCAACCTATGGCTTCTTTTGTAAAATGAAACCTAAATTGTTTAAAAATTGAATCAAAATAAACTTTTAGACAATTTAGGTTTCACCCGGTTCAACCTATTTGAATGCTTGAATTAATTGCCGTTTGGTTAAATTTTTGAGTTTAATTAGATCACTAAATGGGTTGAATTGCAACCAAATCTAATTTCAAATTTTGTTAAAATGATTCAGGTTTGAAAGTCCATTACCCAAGCTATTTCGGCTTGAAGGCCCAATGAAATTTTAAGCCCAAAAACATAATCCCATTTTTATGTTTTAATTTCATTTTAGTTATAGAAATAAAAAATTCAAAAAAATGAAAAAAATAAAAATGAAATCAAAGAATTTTTTTCCTTCCTCTTCTATTGTTGTTCCATTTTTTTTGAACATTAAAGGACACAAGCATTCAATGCTTATTCCATCCACCATCCCTTGACACTGCCATCAACCCCTTATTCACCATCGTTCAACACTACCACCACCCACCCATCTCTAGACTCCCTTGATACTGCCACCATTCACTCTTCCAACTCTATAGAATTTAAGAATTTTTGTCCTAGGAAAAATCAGGAATTTCATCCTAGATTGGCTTTATAAAAGAGCCATTTATAGGCAAATAAGAGAGATTAAAAAAAAATCTAAAAAAAACTAGTGTCTAATCTACTGTCATCACTGATTCAACCAACATCACAAGCTTATTGCCACCTTAATTCACCCTTACAACACCACTACCAATTCCTCCATCCTCATCGACCATTAACCTAAACACCACTAACCTAAATCCATATTATCTAGCACTCAAGCCACTATGATAGCCAAAAGGAAATTGAACCAAACCCTTGTCAACAGCTCAAGAAAAAAAAGGTAAACTAGCCTATCATCAACATCCCCGAGAGAAACCATAGTTAAAAAAAAAAAAAAAAACAACAACAATAACAAAAACACAAAAATCCAAATGGCTTAAGGTTTTGGACTTAGGAGTTTCAAGGGGCTTAGGGCTTTAAACTTAGGTAAGAGGGAGATCTAGGGAGAAGGAACAACATATCAAGAGATTGAGGCCATCAAAGAAACCAAAATCGACAAAAAGAAAAAGTTTGGCCAAAAACTTTAAAGTGGATCTAGATTGTTAGAGGTCATTTTTTTAGATTCAAGGTTTAGATTAGGGACTAAGAGGCCAAAAAGAACATTTTAGGAATTTTTGAGATTTTTTGAATGGTGGTTGATGATAGCGAACAGTGGATGGTGTGGTAGTGCATCAGCCAAAATCTGGGTTGGCTTGGAAGGATTAACCGCTTGGTTTTTTAAAGTAGAAAACTTTTTTTTTTGTGTAAAAGGGGTTGACATGAATTAAAAAAATGATTTTTATAGCTTAAAAAAAGTTCAAAACAACATCATTTCGAAAGAAGGGGATCCATGCCTCAAACTGACCCACTCAAAAACCCATGCGCCCAAACCACCTTAGTTGAAATTTGGATCGGTCTAACTGAACCACAAGTTAAATCACTTCAAATTGGGATAAATAGCTAAAAACTAGGCAAAACTATCAAAAAAATTGCTTCATACCACTCGAACTACCCTTTCAAACTATTAACCTATTTGACTGGTCATTTTTGGTATTTTTTATTTTTGTTTTTCTAATTTTTTTTATTTTATGTAGACACCCAATTTTTTTTAGCCCAACTCGAATTTGTTCAACTTTTAGATTTGATTTTAACATTTCAATTTGGGCTAACTTAATTGGATTTAATTAAATTAAGCTCGTTAAGGTTCATTTGGGATTAATCATTTTCGAATCAATTTGCATAATTTGAAGCGCAACCTAGTTTAATTCAAATAGATTCAACTTTTGTTCGACTTTTACATTTGGTTCAAATAATTTAATTTGGACTAATTTGAACGTGATAATTGAATTAACGTGTTTTGGACTTACCTCGAATTAATTGTTTTTTAATCATTTATATGAATTAAAATCTAGTCCGATTTAAAGTTCAAATCCTAAAGTCTAATTCGGCTCAATGTCAAGTCAAAATTCAATCACTCAAGCTTGATGGCCTAATAGGTGCCCAAATAAATTTTTTTAACCTTAAGCTCCAATTTTTGGCCTAGATTAAATTTTAATCCTAATTTTCTTTTTATTTCTTTATTAAGTAATTAAAATTGAATAATAACAAAAAACAAAAGGAAAATAGACAAATGGGAGTGGCTGGCAACCACTGCACTAAGGGTAGGTTGTTGCCATAACAAGTCAAATTTGCCCAGTCCCAGCCCCACTACTCTGCCATTCGAAAAATTTTAAACTGCTTACAAATGGCCAAATTAAAATCAATGGAAACTAGCAACTCGGAGGAACTAGAAGAGGAAATCCCAAGAGGATACATTTCACCAACACCTTGCAAGCGCCAGGTTAGACACTCTTAACACCTAAACAGACCCTACTTGCATCAACCCTTGTGAGCACCACCCAAGCCATTGGCCAACATAAAAAAATTCACTCACCTAGCCTTCACTTACCTCAGTATAGACCTTAGCAGCACCAATTAAACCAGTCATACCAATTCCAACCCCTAAAAACTATCTTATGAGCATTACCAACCCCGGCTTGTACCCTTGCCCATCTTACACACCAAGTTTCAGCACCCAATTCCTTACTACAAAAACTAACAGTCCCAACCAATAACTTTGCCCATTATTAAGGACCAAGCCCACTCGTTTTGCCCACACCCTTGCCAACTCATAACCGAGCCTTGGCCAAACCCCACTAAATTAACTATCACAACCAATATCCACCACAACTATTCGACACCATCCCAAAGCATAGCCCTTTAACCATTCCCAAAACCCCATCATCGTCGACCAAAACACGCACAAAAAAAAAATAGCCACAATCCGTCCTTGAGGTAAGAGAACCCAGAGCCACAAAGCCAAATTACAAAAAAAAAACTATAGAAAAATACAAAAAAAGGAAAAGTTTTCAGGTTGAATAAGTTTTTAGCCTAGTTTTTAGAGGAAATGAAGAATGTGAGTAAAAGAAAGGCATACTAAAGGTTAGGGGTTTACGGCCAGTGAAAAAGATGGCCTTTAAGGTTTGAGGCCATGAGCTTGAATGAAAAATCTAAGAATATCTGGATTGATTTTGAAAAATCAAGGTTGAGAAAAGAAAAGAGAAAGGTGAAGGCTTCATTCGGGTGAAGTTTGGGCTAATTTTGGCATTGGCGAGTGGTGGTCGACAATGGAGAAAACGACGATGATGACGGTTAATTACCAGGTTCTGGACTTTGGCATTGAAGCTGGCCAACCTTTTGGTTTGTTTGAGAAGAGTAAAGATTTTTTTTTTTTTGGAAAAGCTATGAAATAAAATAAATAAAAATTTTGAGTTTTATAGTAAAGGGAGAAAGGAAAAAAATGACATCATTTCAGTTAAGGAGATTCGCACATAACCTAACTACTCGACCAAGGATTCATGCACCTAATCTGCCTTTTCTATAGCATTTAACCAATTCGACTAGACCACCTCTGAATTGGCCAAAACCCTTTGAATCGCTTGTTGAATCGTTTAAACCGTTGAAAACCAGTCTGAACCACACTCGGACTATTGACCAACCGATTTTTAGTAACTTTTTTAATTTTCTTAAATTTTTTTAAATTTTTATTTTTTAGGTTATTTAAACTATTATTGATGCAACTTAATATTTCAAATACCTATAATAAATATCTAAAAAAAAAGGAAAATTAATGTTAAAAAATTATTAGTAAATTAAAAAAATGTAATAATAATAATAATAATAATATGAAATAGTAAAAATTAGTAAATAATGAAAATTTCGATGATG